TCTTTGTAAATAGGGAAGGGTGGAGGGGGTGAAGGGAGGGCTAGGAATGGGGAAAAAATAACCAAGATGAATCATGTAAAGGTACAAATTCCCAATGAGAAATGTAAATGTGTTGTATACCTAAAATGTACCAATAAAAGAATTTAAGTAATTAAAAAATGTGCTATTTAATTACAACTCAGAATTTTATGTGGATATCTTGATAATTCACTATAACATTTATTGCCTTAATGATAACCAACATCATTTGAGGTGTTCCTATATGGTGGGCATTGTTCCCAAAGTCTTGACCTGTTCTCCAGGTTAACTAATCAAAATACTTTCTGAGTTTAAGAGTTTTACAGCTGAAACCTGTAAACTAATGGAGAGTAAATACCATACAAGAAGCAACATCATGCTATGTTCTTTCTATGGTTTTCCTTTCACCATCAGTCCCAATGGGCCCTAAGACCTAGTGGTCCCACAGGAAACAATTTTATTACTGGTATGTGTGTTTATTCTGTCTCCCATAGCCAGAACACTAGCTAGACATTAAAAATGTTCCTCTCCAGTATGTCCCAAGACTGAAATCATTACAGCTGATGCTTAATCGGAGACTATATATTGAATGCAAATATATGATCTTTTTTTTTACCTTGAAATATTTAAATTTTTATCTTTATTAATTAAAACACTCACTTTGTTCAATTATACTCTTCATACCTCTTTCTTTAATATATGAAACTCATCTTTGCTTAATTATCACATGAATTATTTTACTGACAGTATATCAATATAAATTTTTCTTTTATTCTTGTGTATGAATCACAGGTAAGACATAAAATTTTAAGTCAATTCTAAAAAGTAGCCAAAGAACCAGGAATTTCCATAAATTCTAACACCACTGCTTTCTCAAAATTATCTTAATTCTTATTCTTTTGTATATACTCTAATAATGAAAAACTATATCATTATACTGATTCAATTTTGTACATTCTGTAATTCTAAAAATGTGATTTAATTGCATACTGTGGGGGAAACTGTGAACTAGTTTTCCTTCCCCATTGGTGTAAACACACGAGCAGTATTTGTATGTTTAACAACAGGTATACATAGAGTTCCTGGTTTTGTTTCTATCTTTTCATTACATGTGGAATAAACTTCTGAGAAAAATGTCTGACCCAAAAGAAGTGATCAGAAGAGCTTAGCCTACTTTTCTCTTTACTTTGACCCTAAGAAAAAAATGTATAGTTACAAAATGCCTACCAGAATTTGAAACTCTGAGACGCCAATTACTTTGGCCAGATAGTCTCTGGTATCTATACCAGGATAGGGGTTCTTTTCAAACCATTCATTAAGGATATCCTTTTGACGCTCATTTAAAATCATCCTCTGTCGTCGGCTTTTTCTTTCTAGTGAACCTAGCAAATAAAAAAGGGATAAGGGGGTATTAAGTATGTTTGTGGATTAAAATCTGTGGCCTGAGCATATACTTTAAGTTTATTCTAGGATAAAGGCGAATACATCAAACATTGACTATATATGTTTACTTTAGGGATATCTCTTACGTTATCCTAATTTGGATATATACTGCATAAATATATATCTTAGGAGGGTGACGGAGCCCGCCGTCACTTGTCGAACAGTACCTGAATGGGGGAGTGAGGATGAGGAAAAATAAAGACAAAGAGATAGAGTCGGGAGGGCTCCCAGAGACCGAGCGCCCAAGTTTATTTTTCACCTTTCTTTTCTACACTAGGTGAGTTTGGTCATTAATCATGACCCTTATCCAGAGACACCTACTTCCCTGTTCTCCAGTTCTTTGGAAATTCCCCGCCCTCATGGGCTTCTTTGTTTCTCGGGGTTACAGAACATTTATCATGTCCCAGGACAATCTCTAAAGGTAAACATCTGAGTTGGCAAGGACGCGGTTTCTCATAACATAGTCTCCTTGCTCTTTACAATGGAGGGTAAGATTCAAAATGGAGTCTCTTTAACTAACACCGCTCTCCACCGGAGGGTTAATAGTCAGGGATGTAAGAATAGAAAGCAACAACCAACAAAAATTCACAATATTATATGCTAAGAAGAGTGGAAGTAATAGGAACAAAAAATGTCCATGAAAATTAATGAAGTGAGCAAATGTGAATTGAGTAGTTAAAGAAAATTACAAATATTCAACTTTGGAACAAATGATACATTTTAAGAAAATTAAATTTAAATATTGGCATATGCCTAAACTTCCAACTGCTTGGAGGCAGATGCTGGAAGGTCAAAAGTTTGAGGCCAGCCTACTAGGCAATACAGTAAAATTTTGTCTTAAAATTTAAAAAGGGCTGAAGGTGTAGCTGAGCTGTAGATCATTCCTGAATTCAATCTTAAGTACTGTACACCACACACACAAAACTTAAATATAAACATCAGGAATGTAATTTTTCCCCATCTAGAGTGTCTTCTACCTAAAATGTTAAAGTTAATTCCTGTAAGGAACCCATGCGGTCATCTTAGATTTAGAACTAGTCTTCTGACCCAAATGGGTCATGGACCCAAATTATCAGTGAAAAACAGTTTCTCCCCCAAAAAAGTTTCCCTATAATCATAGGTGTAATGTAAAGTATCACAAACTGTAAAAAAAAACAAAGCTTTTGGAATGAACATATATAACAGCAAAGAGGCTGACTGGAACTTACCATTTGAATATCTGCTTAGATCCATACTGTGGGGCCTGGAAGAGTTGTCACCTGGATCCCACAAAGACTAGAAGCCAACAGAGTCACTCCCAGAGACCAGGACTTATCAAAATGAGAAAAGGAAAAAGTGGAAATAAAGTCTTTGTAAATAGGGAGGGGTGTGGGCGTTGAAGGGAGGGCAGGGGGATGGGGAAAAATATAAGAACCAAGATATATCATGTAAAGGTACAAATTGCCAATGATGAATGCCATCACGTTGTATACCTAAAATGTACCAATAAAATTAATGAATTTTTTAAAAATCCAATGGGACTCATAGGCTTCTTAAATACCTGTTGATTTAGTCCCTTCATTAAATACAGCTCACTGTTTAAAAGGATTTGGAAGTAATCAAATTAAGGGGAAGTTGAATTTTGGGCAAAAGTGCAGATTGTGTCAGGGAATTTTACATCTATTATAACACCTTTTCAGAAATAACTTTGCTTCTGAGCTCTCTGTATATAATTTTCTTCTGGGCCGGGGATTTAGCTCAGTGGTTCTATCGCTTGCCTTGCAAGCGCAAGGACCAGAGTTCAATCCCTGGTACCAAAACAAACAAACAAAAAATACTAGTCTCAAAACAAACAAAACCAAAAAATAATTTTCTTCTCTTATTTTCAAGTTGTTTTGTTTCCTAATTACTTTGGCTTGGCCATTTTACTTAATTTATGGAGGGTCTTACCTTGCCTTGAACTTCTCATGTTTTCTTCAGCTTATCCTGAAATATACCTTATTCCATTGTTGTGCTGGTGTGGATAGATGTCAATTGGCTAGTCTAAGTTCCCTAATTTAGCTGTTGGTGTGAATGCATTTTGCATGTGATTACAGAATAAAACCATTTGCCTTTAATTTAAGCAGATTATCAAATATACATTGTGTCAGGTAAAAGTGCCGAAGACCAAGACCAGACCAGGCCACAACAAGCCTTTATTAGGGGAATAGATCTGCCGGGCTGTCTCTGAACAAAGGAGAGACAAAAGCAATATGGCTGGGGCAGGGAGAGTCTTTTATAGAGACTGGGGTGGGGCTTGTAGGGGCTGAGGTGGGGTTGAGTGAGGTAGTGATCAGGGAGTGGGGGAGCCGGTGACGTCACTAGGTGGTAGGGGGTGAGCAAGTATTAGGTTACTCTCTAGGTGGGACCAGGGGCATGCTGGGAGGAAGGGTTTATTCTTTGGTGGGAGCAACCATCTTGGCATGACATCACCCGGGGGAGGGGCAAGGCACCATAGGAAGAGGGCAGCTACTATACATAATAGCTGCTGAGGTAGTGGAAGACCTATCACATTGGGTGTGACTGATTTGATCAGTGAAAGAAGAAATTACTAAAGTTAAGACTTATCTAAAAATCCCAACAGTAGAGAGTAGTTTCAGCTGCTGAGGCTGGCCTTGAACTTGCAGTGATCCTCCTGCCACAGTCTCCTGAGTACTGGGATTACAGGCATGTGCCACCACGCCCAGCTTGGAGGCCGTACTTCTAATGGGAATAGTATTTCCACCAGGAGACATCACAATGATAACTGTGTTAGTTACTTTTCTCTCATTGCTTAGACAAAATATCTGACACCCAAAGTTAAATGGGAAGGGCTTTATCTAACTTACAGTTTGTAGGCTTTTCAGTCCATAATTGGCTGGCTCCAAGGCAGGGATGGCAAATAGTCATCACAGAGCAGAAACAACATGTTGTGCACAAGGTAACAAAGGCAACATCAAGCCTTACCAGGATCTTCCTGTCCCTTTTATCTTATTCAAACTACTGGGATTAGGGTGGTGCCAAACCTGTTGGGCCTAAACCCCTGACAGCAATAATCACCTGAGTCACAACACGATGTAAAGTCTGAAGAGAACTTAATTTCCAGCCGGGACCAAATCCCCTGCAAGGAGACTGGCCCCGGACTGAACTTTTGGTCAGTTTTTATAAAGAAAACCCTTTCCTCCTCCCCCTTCCTTCGCCCTGCAGTAAGCATATCTACAGAAGCAGAAAGAATGCATGGTTAGCACCTCTGGTTTACCAGATACATAATGTAAAACCATCCCTTATCCCATTACTTACAAGGGTGGGTTCCATATGCACCCTTGTGGTTGTTTGTCTAAACCCTTAAGCACCAATTAAAAGCAGGAGTATAGGCATGAGATAAGAACATCTGGTGTGTTCAGACATCACACAGGAGTACAAACATGAGATAAGATTCCCCCTTTTCAGAGTTCACACAGAGGACAGTTTTCCCATCAGGACTGGCACAGTTCAGGCAAAATGGAGTCTCCTAAGCTAATTTAGGTCTCTCAAAACCAATCACCCACGTGTAGCAGTTTAGTAACCACAGGCCCTTAACTCCAGCATCACGCATTCCAGATTCAACTACCTCTCAAAAAGGAAGTCTTGCCTCATCCACATGAAGCTGGGGGGGAGGGGGGGAGCATCTAAACACAAACCATAACATTCCACTCCTGGTCCCCCCAAGACTCATGCATATCCCTTTATGCAAAAAAAGCATTTAGTCCATCTCTAAGAGTTAGCAAAGTTCTAATAGTTTCAGCATTGCTGAAAAGTCCAAGTCCCAAATCTCCTCTGAGATTTAAGGCAAAAATCTTAGCTGGAAGCCCCTGAACAAATGAAACAAAAGTTAAACACTTCCAACATTCAATGGATCAAGATAAACATTACCATTCCAAAAAGTTCAAATGGGGGGATATAAAGGAATGGGACAAAGGCAAGTCCAAATCCAGTGGGGCAAACATTAAGTTCCACAATTCCACTTCCAGCATCCCAGACAATCTGTGGCAAGTTGTGAAATCCAAAGAACTTGGGTGGCTCCACCCCTAGGGCGCTTCTGGTGGTTGCAGCTCCCATGGCTTTTCTCTGGGACCAGTCCTTCTCCCTCTTTGTAGTTTTCCTCAGATGATCCATGCTTCTGGCATCTCCAAACTTATCGGGTCTCTAAAGCACCTGTGGCTTCACACTCACATTTTCACACACTGCCCTCTCAGGGGCGCATTGCCTGGCCTCCCAGGCCTTCTGAAATCTAGGTGGAAGCCTTCCTGACTCCACAACTCCTGCATTTGGCATGCATCTTAAACCAGTCCCATGTGGATGATGTCAAGGTCTGCTGCCAGCTGGAGCAGTAGTCAGAATTCCCTCTCTTGGCTGTAGGAGTCGAGTGCCTGGATCACTGAGCACTCTGAACCCAATTTTGAGGAACACTTTCTCTAGGGTGCCTCCATTCTGGAACATTGTGGGGCCACCGCCATTTTGGAACTTGGTGCTCTGGGGCTGTCTTCTCAAAGCAAATTCTTTCATCTTTACAACTCTGAGGCTGCAAAGGTGGAGTCTTACTGTTTCCTGAGATGCCCTCAGGCCATCTTTTCTGTTCTCCTATCCCTTCTCAGCAATCAAGATCTCCTCTGCTTTATCTTTGCAGTCCACAGCTTTACTGGAGCTTCCTTTCTGGCCAAACTCAAAACATTTTAAATCATTCTTCTGGGCTCTTTGCTCTGGATTCTCAACATACATCTGGCTAAAAGCCCCCAACAGTAGCCATGCCACTGTCTCAATATTTGACTGCCTTGAAATTTCTTCTGCCAGATTAATTAGTCCACCACCCCCAATCTCAGTTTTAGGAAAAGTCTCTGGATATTCTATATAGGTAAGTTAATTAGATATCTTGTAGGCAGTTAGACAGGGCTGGGTTTTGAGGAACCAACATGGAGGACAATCAAAACACATTCAATGAAGCCCAGCATTGCAAAAGAAGAGAAACTACCACACCCATGTGATTCCCCTAAGGATGAATAGCAGTGATTGATATTCTAAATAGGTATCAATCACCTGGGTGGGGGACCAAGATCTTCCAAGAAAGATCCCTGACCAAACCCTTACCTATTCCTTGTAGGCTTGGTACATGACTTGCCTCCCCATTTGATCACCATTTAATCAATATTATCTAAATGACTATAATATCCTCATCTTATTGGTTAATCTTAGTTTTGTGCCACCTCATATTCACCTTGTGATTTCTCACTGGATCAGTATTTCCTAAGCAACTGTAACTACTTGACTATAGTTTTGCCTCACCTTGAACTCTCCTCACCTCATGGCTTTGTCCCACAAAACTTTACCTTTCAGAAGCAGGTTGGGCAGATAACCCATTTTTCCAGTCTTCCTTCTGTCTCTCTTAGACAGAAGCTATCTTTCTCTGAATAAATTTTTCCTACTCTTAACCTCTGTTGTTCCTAGAACTCATTCTTTGATTTTAGAGAACATGAGCTTGCCCTTCGGATATCTAACAGGTTTGGCAGTTGCATCTATTCCCCCTATATCATGGGCATGAACAAAATGTGGACAAACTTTCTGCTAAACCACAGCACATATTGCCTGGAGTCCAACAGCCAATGCAGTCTTTCTTCCCAGCAGAAATCTCTTGAGCCTGGTCTTTCCCGGCCTTCTGGTCTTCTGAGCTCTGACCAGAATCTCCATACAGAACAACCTAAGGCATTCCAGCTCTACTTCTATAGCTGACATCTCTGAATCTTTCCTAACTCTTCCCTTTCCCACAAGCCAGTTCCAAAGGCTCTTGAGCTACATGGCCAGGTAATGTCATAGCAAAGACCTCACCTCTCTGGCACAAAATTTCTGTGTTAGTTACCTTTCTCTCATTGCTGAAACAAAATACCCAATACCCAAAGTTAAAGGGGAAGGGCTTTATTTAACTTACAGTTCATAGACTTTTCAGTCCATAATTGGCTGGCTCCAAGGCAGGGATGGCAAACAATCATCAAAGAGGAGAAACAACATGACATGTACAAGGTAGAAAAGGCAACAACAGGCCTTACCAGAAAAGTGTCTTCCTGCCCCTTTTATCTTATTCAGACCACGAGGATTAGGGTGGTGCCATACCAATCACTCACATGTAGTGGTTTTGTAATCCCATGCCCCTAACCCTAGTATCACACATTCCAAATTCAACTATCTCTGAAAAAGGAAGTCCTGCCTCATCCACATGAGGCTTTGGGGGAAACATCTAAACACAAATCATAACAATAACATTGAACTGTAAGTTGAGGCTGCC